TTGTTATCTCAGATTGTCCGGCATCGGCAGTTCCTTCTGTCTCTTCAGATAGCGTGTTTTGTTTTTCCTTAGCAGGTCGATTAGAAAAATATCTCTCACTTCTGGAACAAGTGGGTCTTGAATCCAGGCCTCCTGGTTCAGAGGTAACAACAGTACCACTGTGCCAGAAGAGTCTTGAATTCTTTGAAATACCCTGGCTTTCATTGCTAAGATCATTGAGCTCCTTCAAGTTGGAATGAACGGCAGGTGCATGTAAATTAAGTTGAATTATTTTGCAAAATTAGAACAAAATGATTTATGATAATATTTCTACTTAATTTATGATAATACTTTTATTTAATTTGCAAAGGTGTTGAAGCCATTGTGAACTAGATCAACCGAACCATGAGTAAGGCATGAAAAGGGACATTTTTAATTTTATATAACTTATGGCACTTGCAATTATGTAATTATTATTTCTTTTGTCACTAAGTAACACTGAATGAACTCTGAACTCTGTTATCCAGGAACTGTGAAATAACAGCTATGAGAATTGAAGGTATGAGTCACTAGTTAGTAATCTACATGGTATAAATTGTTAAAATACAAATGAAGTCTTAGTTGTCAATCACACTCCTGTTTATAAATTTACTGACACTTCTTGTAGGATTTTAAAATAAATGAAATAAAAATGACATTTGGAAATATAAATTTTTGAAGTACACTGGCATGAGAATTTGGAAACTAGAAGATAAGGAAGCAGTTTGTGAAGAATTACAGATCTAACTATTTCTTGTGGAATTTACCCTACAGGTTTAATTTGATGCTGCATCCGTGCTTGCTACACTGCAGAACTGAATAACTTCTTGCTGGTTCCCACTTGGTCTCTGCCAGGATGAAATTACTCAGCAATCAATGAATCTCAGTGGTTAAGATGGTCACTGCATTTGGAAGATACTTGTGGCTTCATTCCAACTATCGACTCATTTACAAGACCTGGAAGCCAAAGAGGCTTCATCTTCACAGTGCTTCTGTAATTAATAAAGAAATGTCCCTTCGGCAGCATGGTCTGCAGATCTTTCAGGCAGCAATCAATGCCGTTTTGCCTCAAAACATGATCAAGAAGAATATTAGTATAGAAGGAGACAGGTTGATGATACAAAATCGGTGCTTCCCTGTCCATAAAAATGTCTACCTTGTTGGATTTGGAAAGGCTGTGTTGGGAATGGCAGCTGCTATGGAAGAGATCTTGGGAGACCATCTGCTCCAAGGAGTGATCAGTATTCCTCTTAGCATTCAAAGGATTCTTTGTGAGGCAGGAAAAGAGTAAGAAACAACAAAAAAAATCATGTGGATTTTTCTTTTCTATTCAACAGTAGTGCTCCGTCCCAATCCTTCCCTAACAAACCCAATCACAGACGTCAAGCTGGAAGGCAAAGTATCAGTTAGTTTTGGGATTGCTTAAATAACTTAGTTGGTAAATTTGTTGTCCAGTGTGAAATAGAGTTTTTCTGATCATTGTTTTTGAAGATTCAATTTCTGGTCTTGCTGATTTGAGTAACCTCAGCTGGGGGAGAAAAATGGGAGCTACAGTTGGTCTCAGTACTGCTTTGATAGCTGAGCTGTTGTCTGTGCTCCTGACTCTTAGCCAATTGTTCATATTGAGTGAGGTCAGAATTGGTATTGTTGAATTATTTTTCAACACTGACTGTCTGCACTCTGATTTTTTTTTAAAAATTGAGACTTTTGGCATGGTACTGAGGATGCCCAATAACCATCAAACTTTGCTACAACTAATCACCATCTTAGGACAAAAAGTTGATCTTATTGAAACTTCTAAGATTCTGAGGATTTGACAGGGTAGATGCTAAGAGGATATTGCCTCTTGTGTGATGATCTACCTCTATACGACCTCTCCAACTTACTTTTGTGCTTATCCTGTACCTTACTCCAGTACAATATATGAATAAGGCAACAAATTTACCATCATTTGCAGAGCTAATGCTAAATTTCTGTAGTGTAAATTGAGTGTCAAGGCTCTGGAGGTTTGATGTAGTCTGCCTTGACTCCTAATTTAGACTCCAACTTATGCTGTAGATAGAATAATAATGCAAAGTAAAACCTCTTCACGTCAACACTGTTATAGTTTAAATCTGCAGTAAAATGTTGGAAACTGCAAACGTTAAAACATTAACCTCCAGCACAGTAGCGTGATAGTTATGTTACTGAACCAGCGATCTGGAAGCCTGGGCTATTGATCTCGAGAAATGAGTTCAAGTCCAGCATTGCACCTGGAAAATTTAAATTAAATTATTTACATTAATATCTGCAATAAAAAGCTTAATATCAGTAATGGTAACTGTGAGACAACCAAATTATTATAAAAACCCATCTGGTTCATTAAAGTCTGACCTATATGTGACTCTGGACCCAGGAAATTAGTTGAGGAGAAGCAATTCAAAAATTGATTTGCATTTCAAATTATACATTTGAAAATGTAAAAGAAAAGAAAGGGTGGAGTTGGTCAATACAATTCACAACAACCACACTGTGTAACTGCTTCATTCTTGATAACTCCATTTGGATATGCTTTTAATATGACTGACTGTTAAGTGCCCCATAAAGCAGCCTAGCAAGTTACTCAGTTGGCATCTCACCAGCAGTTTTCCCATTTAAAATTTCATGTTGTGGCTGGCCAATTTTTTTTTTCAGTGCAATGTTCAGTTCCACTCTTTTTGTAAGCCATTTTGTGTACAATATTTAACATGGAACAAGGTTGCTCACCACCACCACCTTGAGGCAGTCAGGGATGGGCAATAAGTGTTGACCTGACCAACAATGCTCAAACTCCCATGAATGAATAAAAGTACTATCCAATAATTGTTTGTGCAGTTAAATTCTTATAGCTATACAGGTGCAAAACTTACAGAATTGGTCTCCCACTGTATGCGGTTTGCACAGCATAGAATAGACCATAGCATTGTTAGAGTACAGGAAAAAATGTATTCAACCAATTATATTCCTGCTGACTTTCATAAGGAAAAAAATCATGCATTGCTATACACTCCCATCCACTCCTCAAATCCCTGCACATTCCTCCACTTCAGATATTTAGCATAATGAAGAATAACATGAGCACAAGGTTTCCTCCAGTAGCTAATTGAATTACTCAATTTGCAGAACTTACATTTTGTTTTTATCCAGTCATGAGACATGGCCATCGCTAGCTGGGCAGTATTTTATTGCCCATCCCTGGTTGCCTCTCAGGAGGTGGTGAGTTGCCTTCTTGAACCGCTGCAGTCCACATATTGCTGGTTGACTCAATGCCATTAGGGAGGGAATTCCAGGAATGGGTTTGATTTCTCACTTTGTGCTGAGTTAGATTATCTCAACAATACCACCGATAGAGACATTAGAATTGGTCTCAGTGTACCTGGGTTCGTTACGATATAATTTAACTAGGATCGTATCAAGTTGCAGTTGATGTTGAGTGGAGCTGTGGTTGAAACAAGTATGTATGGATTTTTTTTCCACTCATGGGAGAGAGGCTTTGCTGGCTGGCCAGCATTTATTGCCTGACCCTGCTTGCCCTTGAGATCAAGATTAAGTGAAATTAATCATAGTTGTGATACCCTTCATGGTTTAATAGGCACTATCAAGGTTCACATATTCAAGATGTCTACCTGGACCAAGTACTTGTGGTCAATGAATTGTATTGAAGAGGAATCAAAGCCTCCAGGAAAGGGAGGAAATTATTTTTTGAGAAAACAATCCAAACTTGAATTTGCATTATGCTTTGCAAATGCCTATGAATTGAAGTAGTGCAGTTCTTCAATACATGTCATATTGTCACGCACTGTTTAACCGCTTCATTCTGGATAATTCCACAGGGACATGCTTTTAAAACCTAATACAAAAATACAAGCAATGGAAGGAGCCAGACATAACCTCCCTGATGAGAATGCTTTAAAGGCAGCCAACACTATCCGTCATTTAGTGGAAGGACTTGCTGCAGATGACCTGCTGTTTGTGCTTATCTCAGGTACATAAATTCTCTTGTTCATTGTCATAGCAAATTGACTGCAAATATTAATCCACCAGCTACAGTTTAGCACAGATCAATATCCATCATTCCTACAGCAGACTGACTGCACTGCTATTGGAAAAGTTTTCAAATATTTACTAAAATGAATAAAATGACTGTCTTAGCGTCTTTATTGAGTTAATGCAGTGCCATCTGTTGTTCAGGTGCCAGATCTGATCGCTGCTTATAATAAAATAATGTACTGGAGGAAGGGAGGGAAGGGTGAGAGAGAGAGAATAAGTGAAAGGCAGGAGAGATAAATGATGTAAGGGATGATGGGACAAGTCAAATGAAATGCTACTGAGACAAGTAAAGAAGGAAAACATGGGAAAGGTAACTCATTTGCCACCAGCAGCCCTGGCCTAAAACAGGGACAAGAGTTGTGATCTGAAATAGTTGATTTCAGTGTTGAGTCATGGAAATTTTAAAGTGCTGAATCGAAAAATTAGTTGTTGCTATTTGAGCACTTTATAGTTTTAAAGACACAACAGTGCATTCGACACTTTCTTATTCTGCCTACAGCCAAATTTCTCTGTGTTGTGGATTATCTTCTGACTGTACTTTCTGAAGGTGTTGTTGCCTACACTAATACCCAGCACTGAGTACCAGTCTTTGGGCTCCACATTCCTACAGGAATCTTGCACTGTTTGGTCTTTTCAACTCTGTAGCTACAGGGTGGTCATAGAAACATAGGTGCAGGAGAAGGCCCCTTCAAACCTGCACCACCATTCAATATGATCATGGCTGATCATGCAATCTCAGTATCCCATTCCCGCTTTCTCACCAGACCCCTTGATCCCTTTAGCCACAACAGCCACATCCAGCTCCATCTTGAATATATCTAATGAACTGGCCTTAACAGCTTCCTGTAGGAGAGAATTCCGCAGGAATTTTTAAGCGAGGAGTTGATGGCCAAATGGTATTATCACTGGACTGTTAATCCAGAGACCCAGATAACGTTCTGGGGACCTGGGTTCAAATCCCACCACAGCAGATGGTGGAATTTGAATTCAATAAAGACCTGGAATTGAGCATCAAACGATGACAGTGATTCTATTGTCTGTTGCTGGAAAAACCCAGCTGGTTCATTAATGTCCTTTAGGAAAGGAAACTGCCATCCTTACCTGGTCTGGCTGACATGTGACTCCAGACACACAGCAATGGGTCTTAACTGCCCTCAGGGCAATTAGCAATAGGTAATAAATGCTGCGTAGCTAGCAACACCCCTCATCTTGTGAATGAATAAAAAAGGTTCTCAACTCTTAAGTGAAGAAATTGTTAGAAATCTCAGTCCAGAATGGACTGTGACCCCTAGTCTTGGTCTTCCCCAATATTGGGAACATTCTTCCCACAGCAGGCCAGTCCAATCCTATCAGGATTTTATATGTTTCTATGAGATCCCCCCCTCATTCTTCTAAATTTCAGTGAGTACAAGCGTAGTCGATCCAGTATTTCCTCATATGTCAGTCCTGCCGTCCCAAGAATCAGTCTGGTGAACTTTAGTGAAACATACTGTCCACAAAGTTGTCATTCTTAGGGCTTGACAGAGTAAACACTGAGTTGTTGTTTCCCCCTTAATAGTCTTGGGATAGCAAGTTGGCCACTTAAGATTGAGATGAGGAGAAATGCACTCGAGGTTCATGAATCTTTGGAGTTATCTAGTACAGATGGCTGTAAATGCTCAGTCACTGAGGATATTCAAGATGTGACTGATAAGATTTTTGGACACCAGAAGAATGTAGGGATAGGGTGAGAAAATGTATTGATGTGGAGCATCTGTCTTAATCTTTTTAAATAGAAAAGCAGATTTCTGTGGGCCTTATGGCTTTTTATTCTCTTTCATGTGCACTCTAATGATACCATGTGCCCTCAAGTAACACTGGAGCAATTGGTTGTATAGGCTGCATATGTGATCTTTCAGAACTTATGAAGTGTTGTAGACATCCCGTAGAGTATATGATGTGTATAGAGACGTCCCAGCCATTCTACTATGTTGGCTTCCAGTTACTAAATATTGTTTGTTTAGCTTAATGGATTTGTGACTGCTTAACTAACATGAGAAACACGAACCAGTTAAATAAATAAACTAGCTAAACAGTAACCCCAAAATACTTAACTAAATACTTATCTGTAATTCCTTGGGCTTCACCCTCTGTGCAGTTTCTGGCTCTTTCAATGTCCATAGCTTAAACAAAAAAAAACATTGCATTCGTATTCTGATTTCAGATCTTTTAAACAGATGTCCAATATCTGTAGTAACTTGCTTCTGTTTGTAGCTAGCTGTGGAGAAGTATCTGAAATACTTGACTCACAATGTAATTTCCTTTCCGTTTTCCGGGGATATTGGTTTCAGTTCAGCATGCCCCACATGCACTACATGTTTGTAAAATTGCAGATACAAAGTTATATGAGGAGATAAGGAACAAGGAAAGGCTATTCCGCTTACCAAACCTTTCCAACTAGAACCTGCATTTAATGATTCTCAACATTAACGTTCATCCAAGTATCTGATGATCCTCCTCTGAGAATATAATTTCCATCCTCTACCTGCACTAGAAAGGGAAAATCAAACATTGTTCAATATCTTAAATCATAATTATAATTTTCAACAAGTTTCAACCGTTTTAACTACTCCAGTTGACCACAAGTTAACTTCCTACTGTGCAAGTTCACATGCCCACTAGTTTCAGGCAGGATTTTTTTTTCCCAATTCCTAACATAACCTATGCGAACTCTACGCTTAATCTTGTATTATGCCACGCAATAATAGTGTGCTGATGACGCAGCATGGTCAGGTCTGTAACAATACTTAAATACTGCTTCTTTAGGTGGGGGATCAGCTTTATTGCCAGCTCCAATTCCCCCTATCACTTTGGAGGAGAAACAATACCTGACCAAACAACTTGCTGCTAAGGGGGCAACAATTCAGGAACTCAATACAGTGCGCAAGATGCTATCAGTGTTGAAGGGTGGAGGTTTGGCAAGGGCTGCCTATCCTGCACAGGTTTGTAACTTTTCTGTTTCTTGCCTGAATGTGTTGATTGTGAAACTTTGAATGAGATTATGATCAATATTTGGCCTTAATCCGTAATAGTGGTAGTCAAAATGTCAGCTATGTGTCAGATTATGTGTTCAAGTCCCACCAGAGTCCTTAGCACATAATCTAGAATGACACTCCAATGCAGTACTGAGCAAGTGCCACATTGTCAGAGGTTCTGTCTTTTCCGTGAGAAATAGATGCAAAAAACTCCCTGCGAGATTATGAAGCGTCTCCCAATGGCTTAGATAATATTTATCTGTAAACGAACATCTCTTCAACGATTATCCAGTTATTATCATACTGTTATTTCTGCAATTGACTTCCGCTTTTCCTACATTATAACTGTTACATTATGTAAAGCAATTGAGATGCTGAGAGGTTATGAAAGGGGCTAGAGTCATAGAGTTGTACAGCACGGAAACAGACCCTTCGGTCCAAATTGTCCATGCCAGCTAGATATCCTAAATTAATCTAGTGCCATTTGCCAGCATTTGGCCCATATCCCTCTAAACCCTTCCTATTTATGTACAATCCAGATGACTTTTAAATGTTGGAATTGTACCAGCCATTACCACTTCTTCTGGCATCTCATTCTATACACGCATCACCCTCTGCATGAAAATGTTGTCCCTCAGGTCCCTTTTAAATCTTTTGCCTCTCACCTTAAACCTATGCCCTGTAGTTTTGACTCTCCTACCCTGTGAAAAAGACCTTGGCTGTTCACTCTATCCTTGCTACTCATGATTTTATAAACCTCTATAAGGTTACCACTCAGCCTCCAACACTCCAGGGAAAATAACCAATTCTGCCTCTCTGTATAGCTCAAACCCTCCAACCCTGGCAATATCCTTGTAAATCATTTCTGAATCTTTTTAAGTTTCACAACATCTTTCCTATATATAAGTACTTCTTAGTATGTTACAAAGAGCAAATTCCAATTTTCCATCTCTCCCACCCAGCAAGTGACCCCTGCTGGTGATGCTTATTTATGCTGTGTCAATGTTCCATTATGTTGTTTAAATACTAATTTTGTTTCTATATCAGACAAGACCAGAAGTGTCAACAGGCTACTGAATTATAAGGGGGATGTGGGGGAGAAATTACCCCTGAGTTTATACTGTGTGTGCATTTCCAGCTGAAAAATAACGATTTTTGTTTACTGCTCACAAATCCTTATTTTTATTAGTACCTTAGCTCTCTCTCACTGAACATATCGTCACTCACATTTTTCATTAAAGGACTACATGTTCAGATATTCTAATACTGAGCAATGAATCCTTGTGAAAATAAAAGCTCTGGCTTTCTAACCTGATTCTTTACCTTCAGTTAGTCCATCATGTCGAGTAAGTTATCCAGGATTTTTACATTTCTTTTAAACCATACCCCACTATGTCTTTGATGTTCAAGTGACAATTCGAACTCGTGAAATATTCCCATAAGTAAGATACCTTAGTTACCATTTCAAGACCCTTGATTCAAAAGCTCAATTTCCTTCACTACGTACAGAGGCCAAAACTGGGCACAATGACTCAAGTGCAGAAATCACAAAGATTTGTCATATTAATCTCTTAAAGGTACTTTTCCATACAGTCTGAAACTTTACTTGCTTTCCCTACAGATGACTTCTCCTGCTTTGAAATTGGTAGAGAGTTGAAGCTGAAAGGTTTTTAGTCTATTTTCTACGCCCAACCTCCACTCCTTTCAGTCCGATACCTAGTCATAGTCGGGTATGATTCAGAGTGCTGACTGCCCTTGAATACCTGAACCAGGTGACTATTCTCTTTGGGATGAACCTAAACAACTCACGACAGCAGAGAAACCAGTCTTGTAATTTTGTCACAGTCACAGGGTAGTACTTGCAGTAAGGGCAGAGTAGGTGGCAGTCAAGAGTTGGAATTAAAATCTTGTTTATTCCTTTGCAGTTTGATCTGTGCTGAGCTCATTTGTAGCCCTTCCACCTCTTTATCTACATCACCTAACTTAGGAATTAAAACTGGAATGTATGACGCAGTACCACACCATGTAGTGTGTTCACCCATGGATGGATTACAAAATGATTTAATGACAAGTTTAGTAAGCAAACAGTATTTATATATACATACTTAGTAACAGTTAATTCAATAAAAAGGTCAGAACATTACTATGTATAACCAGAGATCCAAGGCAAAATGTCAATGCAACAGGCACTTTTGATTAGAAATTGTATTAATAATTGAGATCATCTTTGGATTTAGGATTCTAAATACATTTTACTTAAACAGAAGACTCCAAATTGTATTATAATCAGGTTTGACTGTACGAGAGATTGAAATATAGAGAAATATAAAACATAACTCTTTATTTGGCAGGTGGTGAGTCTCATCATGTCTGATGTTATTGGCGACAATTTGGAGTTTGTAGCCAGTGGCCCAACTGTACTTAACTTACAAAGCAAAGATGACTGTCACAAGATACTGTCAAAATATAACTTATCCATGCCAGAATCTGTAAAAGAAGTTCTGTCTCAGTCCAGCATGAAAATGGACAAAGAGGAAATCCAAACGTTTGATCATGTTTGTAATTTTATAGTGGGATCAAATGCAATTGCCTTAGAGGAAGCAAAACGCAAATCAGAAAGCTTGGGTTATAACACTTCTGTCCTGTCTACTGTAGTCAGTGGAGATGTCAGGACTGTGGCCAAATTGTACAGTCTTTTGATTAGATATGTGTATTCAGTTCTGGCAGCTGCCAGTTCAAAATACGTACATGTAAGCAAACTGAAAGATGAGATCCTGCAGATGGTCGTAAACATGGAGCTTCCTGACTTTCAACTAGACGGCTGTTTGAAACTGTTGGAGGAGGCACAGAGTTCCAAGAAATCAATATGTCTTTTGGCAGGGGGTGAAACTACAGTTCAACTCCAGGGTAAAGGTAAAGGGGGTCGAAATCAAGAGCTGGCCTTGCATGTGGCGTTGGAACTTCACCGTGCAAAATCAAAGATTCCACAAGATCTACTTACAAAACATGAAGTTATTTTTCTTAGTGCCGGGACTGATGGACAGGATGGGCCCACTGAAGCAGCTGGTGCATTTGCTTACGGTGACCTGGTTGACAAGGCTTTTGCTGAAGGGCTCAACCCAGAGGACTTTTTAAACAACAATGACTCCTTTACCTTCTTTAACAAGTTTAATAATGGAGTGGATCTCATTGTGACAGGACTGACAAACACCAATGTTATGGATGTGCAAGCAATTATTATTCAATACAATGAAATTTAAATCAAGCATTAGCCTTTCACTCAACATAAAGGGAGATGAAGAAGTATTTAATTTCTTTAAAAAGGGACATAATATTGTACTCACATAGCATTTTATCAGCAGAATAAATATCAGTAAAGGGAACAAGGATGTATGTATAGTTTTCATGTGTTGAGCATTGGCATTACATGTTAAAGCGAATGATGTTGGATCAGATGTGCCACAAGCTGGCAGCATTTTGAGAGCCATTATTGCATACCTCACAAACAAAGCTATTCAAATAAAGATGTAAACATTCAAGTTTTCCTCAAATCAGTGTTCTAAGAGCTAGCCAACATTTTTTGACACAAGCCATGGTTGTAATTTTTTTTAGAATTTTAAGGGTTTGTAAGTTACATACCTAATTCCACCAGTAACCCAATAAAACAAAACTGAATTGGAATTTATATCCAGAATCAACAGAAAAAGCAGACTACTGGGAATTGTTTTTGGTGTATGGCATTAGGGAAGACCCTGCGATAGCTGCATACCTATTTGCAACATCGTGTTGAATACCTTTGGATAAACCAGAAGGGACCCAAACTCAATCTCTTGTTTTAAGACCATAAGATATAGGAGCAAAATTAGGCCGTTCAGCCCATCCTGCTCTGCCAAACGATCATGGCTGATGTGTTTCTCATTTTCCGGCCTTTTCCCCTTGACCTTTAATCTCCTTACTAATCAGTAATGTATCTATCTCTGTCTTAAAGACATTCAAATGATCTGGCCTCCATAGACCTGCAGCAATGAGTTCCACAGATTAACCACCTTCTGACTGATGAAATTTCTCCTCATCTCAGTTCTAAAGGGTCATCCCTTCACTGAGGCTGTGCCCTCAGGTCTTAGTCTCTCCTACTAATGGAAGCATCTTCTCCATGTCCACTGTATCCAGGCCTCTCGGTATTCTGTACATTTCAATGAGAATCCCCCCCCTTTCCTCTAAATTCCATTGATTACAGACCTAGAGTCCTCAACCGCTCTTCATATGATAAGCCATTCATACCCAGGAACATTTTTGTGAACCCCCTCCAAAGCCAGCGCATCCTTCATTAAATATGGGGCACTGACCACAATATTCCCAATTCGGTCTGACCAGAGCCTTACACAGCCTCAGCAGTATTTCCTTGCTCTTGTATTCTAGCCCTCTCAAAATGAAAGCTAATGTTGCATTTGGCTTCCTAACAGCCAACTGAAGCTGCAGGTTAACCTTAAGACAATCCTGAACTAGGACTCCTAAATCCCATTGTGTTTCAGATTTCCAAAGCTTTCCCCATTTAGAAAATAGTCTACATCTCTTCCTCCTACCAAAATGCATAACCTCACGCTTTCCAACGTTGTATTCCATCTGCCACTTCTTTTCCCACTCTCCTAGCCTTCTGCAGTCCCCCTGCCTCCTCAACGCTATCGGCCCCTTCAACTATCTTTGTGTCACCTGCAAATTTAGCAACAGTGCCCTCAGTTCCTTTGTCCAGATCGTTAATGTAGCATAGTTAGTTAACCTGTCCTCGTTCAGGAACTACAATTGGGATTGGCACCCTTGGATTGACTTCCCACCCTTAATTGCTACCAGTGACCCTTTCTGAAAGTGCATAAATCGTTATGATCCTTTCTGATGGTAATACTGGATAAGTCAGATTCCAGAGGGAAACCTGACTTGATAGATCAAAAATTTTACTTCTGTAATTTGGTTACGATGGTGGTCAGTCATTGAACATATTGACATGACACTGTCAGTTCAGTGAAAACTGCATTTTCTGAAGAAGGATCTAGGCCCGAAACGTCAGCTTTCCTGCTCCTCTGATGCTGCTTGGCCTGCTGTGTTCATCCAGCTCTACACCTTGTTATCTCATGACACTGTTAGTGTTCTTTTAATAAAAGAACCTAAGTTTATTTCACAAAAATTACAAAAACAAACAAATCTATATTCGATATACATACAATTTGAAAACTGGAGGAGTAGACTATTCAGCCTTTAAGCCTGGTCCACTATTTAATATGATCATGGCTAATCAGCCAACTCAATATCTTGTTCCTGCTTGCTCCCCACATCCTTTGATCCCTTTAGCCTAAGAACTAAATTTAACTCATTTTTGAAAACATTAAAGAAATGTTATGAGCAGAAAAAAGGAAGAGCCAACGCTTTCCAAAGCAATAACCTTTACACACACTTAAGCCCAGTGAAGTATCATTCCCATTCAGACTTGAAAATTTCTTCCTCAATTAACAAGGTCACAAACCTCTCCTTTCAGTGACTTTCTACACATTCACCAGATTTGATTTTCTCCATTGCTGTTGAAGTCAACAGTAAACAACAATTCTCTAACCAGGTAGTTGAGTTGAGTCATTTGACATATTTCTTGAAAGGGCTACCTTTAGTTCTGTTCTGGGACTTTCTGACCCTTAGAAAAGAACAGATCTTCACAATACTAAAAAACAAAATCTCATTTTCTTCTAGTATCCAAGTTCCCAAATAGTAGACAGGACACTGGACCAAAATGAAAGAAGAGCTTGATAGCCCTCCCCAGAACCAGCAAGAGAAATCATGTGACAAAAACAGAAATTACTGAAGGAACTCAGCAGGCTTGGCAGCATCTGTGGAGGGAAAGCAGAGTTAATGCGACGAGTCCAGTGACCCATTTTCAGAAATCATGGGTCCTGATGTTTCTCCCATTTCTAGACCTATTATTCCTTATTCTCACCTCTCCCCACCCACGCAGTCACACCATTTTAACACTCCTCACATTCTTTGGGTGCCCAAAATTGGGAACCTTAGTCACAGTAAGGTCAAGTTGCTTTATATAGGTTTAGAAAATATCTTGGCTTATCTGTTGTATGCCTCTTTTTAAAAAGGCCATCAAAATCTCAGGTTTCAGTATGACATACTTTGGCTTTGTCAAACAATTATGCATGCAGCTCTGGTTCTTTGAATCCAGCCTTATACAATGTTTAGACATCAAAGTGCAAAAGACTTGAACCTCACAAGCACTACAACAGTCACATCTACAGATCAGAACACATTGAACTTCCATGATGTATTCTTTAGGCATGTGACCTTCTGTTTTCACTTCCAAGTTTAAAAACAGCAAGACTTTCCGGTAAATAAGTACCAACCAATTCATCTGCCATAATCTGCCATTTCCACCCACAGAAGGGAGGTTTGCTAAGAAAAAATTGTTTTTGCATTAAGTAATACATATTTCCCACTTTAATTTGAAACCACAGAATTAAGACTTCTTCTGTGGGAAGGGGCAGAACTATGACTTGAAAGAAACTAACAATTTGGGCAGTTCAGTGCTTAGCCTTGATGCCAGGGACCCATGTTCGATTCCAGCCTTGAGTGACTGTTGCTGTGGAGTTTGCACGTTCTCCCCATGTCTGCACCCCCCACCCCCCCCAACCTGGTTTCATCCCACAGTCCAAAGATATGTAAGTTAAGTGGATTGGCCATGCTAAATTGCCCTGTATTGCCCAGGGATGTGCAAGCTCAGCTATGGTTTGCCATGGTTAGCGTGGGATACAGGAATATGGTTGGGGGCTGGGTCTAGGTGAGAGGCTTTTCAAAGGGTTGGTGCAGACTTGAGAGGCTGAATAGCCTCTTTCCATGCTGTAGGGATTCTGTGCTTCTGTGATAACAGTCCTATGTGTAACACTGTTTCCACTGTTAAATTAGAGTAGTCATCAGTCAATTCCTCCCTCAACGTTTTAGCTGGGGTGGGATGGGTGGGGTGAGGGAGCACAGGGGAAGGATCAACACCACCCCACAAAATCCAGCTCTCTGCCTTTTGCATTATTAAATTATCAACATTGCTCCCACTGTAAATTCCTATATACTACCGCTTACTGACAGAAAATGTGCCAATCTGATTTGGATCTGTTAAAGACTGTCATTGGTGGCTATTAGTCATGTTTAAAGGACAAGAACACATTTCCTTTTGTAACGTTACATTATTGAAATCATATGCAACTTGTTTCCTATATAATTGAAACTGTGTAAATAAATTTATTATGTAATAGCATTATTTACTGTTGTGATTTTTGTTTCTTATGTAGGATGTGGACATAAATGGCTAGGCCAGTAATTTTGCCCACCCTAGCTGAAAGTCAAGGATAGGGAGGAAGCCTGCCTACAAACTGGCTGTTGTAAGTTAACAATGGAAACAGTGTTACTGCTTTCAGGCAAGATTTTTGCCCCTTCTTTGGGAGGAAGTGTTGCCTTAGAGACCTCCTGGCCAAGCTGGTTATCTGGCAGAGATAGTAGGAACTGCAGATGCTGGAGAATCTGAGATAACAAGGTGTAGAGCTGGATGAACACAGCAGGCCAAGCAGCATCAGAGGGGCAGGAAGGCTGACGTTTCGGGCCTAGA